TTGTGATTTCTAAATTTAAATACTTGTATATTATGGACTTGATTACTTTGTTTGATAAATTGCAATAACACAAGATTGAACAAAATCATCTAGATAAAAGAGAAGAAGGCGGTCGGAAAAAAAGAAGGGACTTGCACTAAAATCTATAAACGTCAAATATAGGGAGTCAAAAGGTAGAAAATGTCAAAATGAAGGTGATGAAGGCATGAATCTTTTAGTTCACAAAGTCAAAAATTCCTAAGTCATAAAAATAACGTTCAAACTTTCAGAAGCAATTAAGTACATATCATCTTTCAATTCAACATGCTTCTAGTGTGGAAAAAAAGGTCTCAAATTGTTTGCAGATTTAAAGGAAATCCAAAAGACAAATAAAACCACAAAAAGAATCAAAAAGAGCTTACATTTTGTGAGATTACAATAATATGGACTCACCCGATGAAGATAATGTATATTTTATAGAAATTCACTAAGAAATGAGGTAAATAATTTTGAAACATCTTCGTATCTGTAATGAACTTCTTCGTATTTGTAAAAAGCCATGTGATGAATCAAGTCAATTAAGAAATGTTGTTTCTATCTCTAAGAAGACTATTTTCTCTCTTGAAATTAAAAATGAAACTCTAATAAAGGAAATATAACTTCTTAAAGAAAAACAAAGGTTCTCCTTCTACTCTTTCTAAATATTTCAAGAAAAAAATATCAAGTGTGAAGAATATAAAATTTTAAAAAATGAAATTGAAGACCTTCATATTCCATTTGGTAAATTTACCAAAGGATGAGATAACTTGAACATCAACTTAGATAATTAAAGAGAGGCTTATAATAAGGATTTCTTGGGCTATCAACCTAACACTAATTTTTTTAAAAATTTAAAATTTTGTTGCCCAAATAGAATCTCAAATCATATAGAGCTTAAATTTTTTTATTGAGGTAAATATGGTCACATTTCTTCTTGATGTAATATATGAAAAACTCATGAAACAAAGGTCATAAGGAAATGAATTTCAAAAGGAAGTTTGTGTTACACTAATGTTAAAACACACCCCAATTAATTTGGGCGTCAAAATCAAGACTTAAAATTGTGATGCGAATGAGCTTTATAGTCTTGAACTTAAAATGACATCTCAACAATGGTTGTTCATAGCACATGACTAAAGACAAAAACAACTTCTCATATTTTAATTCAAAATAGGGAGGCTATGCCTCTTATAGTGACAACAACAAATGTAACTTTATTGATTATTGTATTATTGATAAAATTCTTAATCCTAACTTTCAACCATTTTGCTTGTTAAAAATTTGTAACACAATTTATTTGTATTAGCTAACTGTGGGACAAAGATGATGCGACAGTGTTTGATTTTTCTATATGTATGGTCGTAAAATATAAAAACAAACAAATTATTTTTACTTCTAGCAAATATTTTTGAATTGATAACAAAAGGATCAAAATTATCAAAACATTTGGACATGTTGCCTTTGATGAAATTAACCTCATAAATATTGCAGAGGTAGAAATTTTTGATTTTATAGGTATTCTTGGGAAATCAACTCTGAAGATAAAGATGTAGATGAAGAATAACAACTAACATCAACAATATTTATCCAAAGAATGGACAATCTCAAACAAAACTATCTTCAAAATAGTGTCATATGAGATATCACAAAAAGGGGTAAGGACTCAAAGTTCTCTAAATTAATGAACTTTAAATGTGTGATAGAGTTATTTAAGAGATTTGAAATACAAAAAGAAATTTTAACTCTCATGAGCACTACAAACTACACCAACAAAAATGAGGAAGTAAAGTCAGTAGAAGAAATAAGAATCAAGGTATGATTGATACTCTCCTTTACTTAGTTATATCCGTCCCAATAATTTGAACATGTACATTTTGATATCCTTCACGCATTGAGTTGAATCTATACGTCTACATTTGTATCTTCTTTTAATTATTTTTGTTGAGTGGACTAACAAGATAATGTTCATTTTCGTTCCATGTAAATCTAAGTAAAAGAAATATGGAAAAAATTGTCTAAATACTTAGATAAGCTCGAACTTAATTCAAGTCTAAAGACCACCAAAGACTTCAACTAAATAATCATTATCAAAATTGGTGGCGCCCACCGTGAGAGAGAAATGTGATTTTATGCCTTTTTTTAATGTGGGTTTATATTTGATAATTTATTTATTTTCTCTCTTTTAGATTATGCAAAAAAGGAATAATTATACTCACAAGGGTGTATCTTTTCTATTTTGTCAAAGGAGATTAAAATTTCATTTCTTCATTTTAAATCTTTTTATTGATTCATTCTTGAGAGATATTTTGTCATCATCAAAAAAAAAAAGAGAATATAGTTCTATATTGTAGCAGATTTTGATAATTAACTCAACAAAATCAAACATTACGAACATCATCAAAGAATTAACCTAAATAAAAAATAGGACATAAATTTGTTGATGATTGACTTAACAAAAGACTTAACAAAGACCAAATACTATGAACATTATCAATGAATAAACATGATTATTAAAACACACATTTAATCTGAAACTTAACTGTTTTACTTTATTTAGGATCATATTGTAATATAGTGGATATTTCTCTTAGTACTAAAATATATAGATTTTTGAAAGTGTAAAGATTCAAATAGATTTTTAAGTTCATTGTTCAAAAGAGGATAGATGAAGAAGAAGATAACAGATAAATAATAGAGTAAATAACATAGTTTAGAGATAAATGAAAGCACACACAAGATTTATCTTGGTTTGTCTAAAATCACAATGTCTATGTTCATTTCCCATATGATAATACATTAAGATTTTTCACTGACAACCAAACTCTTTTAAATTAAATTCAGCTCTCAACCTTTACCCAAAATTTTATCATGTATTTAGCTTGTAAGCTTATATATCAAGTTTTTATCACATGTTTATCTTATAATATTTAAAAAGATTGTAAATTGAACCTGTAATAAAAACTTGGTTAAAGGTTGCAAACAGAACCTGTGTTAAACTCTTGGTTGATAGTGAAAATTTTCAAGATGGTTACCCTTAGAAACTCGACGTAAGCCTCGTGATTTTGGGGCAAATTAAGATAAATTTGAAAAATGTTTTCCTTTATCTTTACACTCTTTTACTTACTTAATGTCATCTGTTATCTTCTTTCGCCCTCTTTTTAAAATTGATATAAATTAGGGGTCTATTATTTTTGAAGTTATTCAGTCAATATAAATTATGTATTAGGGGTGTTTGCGGTACAGTTTAAGTGGTTTTGATGTAAAAAAATCATCTGAATCGCAATAGAAGAAAGTGTGTGGTTCGGTTTTATTCGATTGACTTTTAGAAATAAAACTGAACCAAACCAAACCAATGTGATTTGGGTTGGTTCAGTTTTTTACAAAAAATATTGAGTTATACATACACATATAGATGACAACATAGTTTTATATTTAATCATTTATGCGTAATCAAATAACAACAAAATTTTTCATATTTGAACAACAACTTTCCATTTAATATACAAAAATAAAATTAGAGAAAAGTGGAATAAAAAATATTCAATAGTAGTATAAAAAAATATCAAAAACATTATAATGAAATTGAAAAAATAAAGGAGATGAAATATTAAAAAAAATGAAAAAGAAAGAGCATAAGAGATGAGAGATTAGAGAAGAAGAGATGCATTTAAAACGTAATTGAAAGAGAGAATAGTAGAATAAAAATAATAAGATGAAAAAGAAATAACCTAAGAGATTAGAAACTAGAGAAGAAGAGTCGAGATGTACTTGAAAAAAAAGATGAGAAGAATGTGCAATACTGCTCGGAGAGATTTGAGAAGACTTAAACTGAAATCTTAAGTGAGAAGAAGAGAAAAGCATTCATAATCGTAAGGTTAAGACGTAATAGGTTTGAGTTTAGGTTGGATGTGGGTTAAATAAAATTTAAATTGTAACATAATGCAGTTTAGTTCGATTTATAAAATATAAACCACAAATCGAAGCGAACTATGCAATTTTATTAAAATATGGCTCAAATACATCTGAACCAAATATGATTTTAATTGCGGGAATCATATATTGAATTAGTTGTTAATTCAATTGGATTGTCTGTTAGACTAACTAATTGTTAGTTAGGTAATTAGATTATATCCTTTATACAAGTCTTGTGCTTAGATCAATGTATTTAATTGTTTGTTCTAACAACCATTCAATGGAGTTCAGTGACTCATTATTTACATCATCAGTACAGTTTCTTTTAACTAATAGAGACAATATCTACCAAACAAAGCCTAATATGAAAGTTTTCACAGCTCCGATACAGAGGAACCTTTGTATTTAATAATCAATCAAATTGAATACTATATTCTCCTGACACATTTAACTAAATACTATCAAATTGTCGTCTAAACATGTTTAACTATGAAATTCTGATGAAATAATGCGCATTAGAGTTAGAATGTTGCCACCATTTGTTAAAATGCTTTTTGAAATAAAAAATGTGACATTACAGCTATAGATATGAATATTTCTCATAACGCGTGCAATGTGTTGAAATGTATCCATTTTTATTGCCATGCCATTTCCACTTCAATTCCATCACTCATAAACGTGAAACCCACACTCACTCACCAACTTATATTCCTACACAACTTATTAAATACCTCACTTCCTCTCTAACTAACATATCATCATACTCCCCTCTCTCTAACTAACATCACCATCTCTCTCTCTCCTATCTTGCCTCTCCCCGCGGCAACAATCCGCGCTATAAGTAAAACCTTGAGTCGCCTTTTTTCATTAGGTCGATCTTGATCAAACGATCTATATTTAAACTCTAACAATTCAACTTTAAAACATAATTTGATTTCAGTCGTTTGATCTTGATCAGACGGATCCATTTTCCACTCTCTCTCCCTCTCTACAACAACTTTGCACTCAACAAACATCTACTACTCTAGTACTAAACTTTCTTTAGCATCACTCTCCTTTACTTATTAGAGATGAAAGTGAAAGCATTGAGTATCTTTAAATCCAAGTTTCTCAAACCATGCAAAAAACTTATACTTTTCTTCAAACTCAAACCCAAGAAACGTGTATTTATAAGAGCTCTAAAAAAATCTAACCCCCAAAAGCCCTCTACTCCATCAAAACAAATGTCTTCTTTGTTATCAGTGTTCCGTTCCCCGAAGAAATTGCAAAGCTTCAAGTCTCCTTCCAACGTGCAAGAAACACCGATCTTTCCTTCACCGCTTACACCGGCTTGCATAAGGACAAACAAAAGAGAAGGTTCCAAAAGTGAAGCTTCGAGCGAAGAAGTGGAAGATGCGTGCAGGAGTTTCGAGAACTATTTGGCAGAGATGATTGTTGAAGAAGGGAAGACTAAGGACTTGATGGATGTTGAAGAACTTCTATATTGCTGGAAGAATCTCAAGTGTCCTGTCTTCATTGATTTAGTTTGTAGATTTTATGGTGAGCTTTGCAAAGACTTGTTTTCTCCAGATAATGAAGAAAGTTACAAGCTTATGGAGTAAGGACTCAACATAAATAGATATTAATCATTCTTTTATTGTTACAAAAGTTTTCAGTTTAATGTGGTTGTAAGAAACATTTTATAAATCAAGAGTTTAGTCATGAAGTTCTGAAATATACATTAAAATGAAATCATCATAGAAAGATATATAAGATATTCATGTCTTAAGATTACACATAGTGATGATGATTCAAAGTTCTAGCATATCCTAGAAGTCATTGTTAACTTGACTAACTAAGGTAGCATCAAAGTATTCAAGCACAGTAAGCCGAATTACCGGTTAAAGTGGCCGCCATTTAGCTTGAACGGTGTTGCGAAGCATAAACTCGAGACTTCATGATCATCGGTCCAATTTTAAACCCTGGCATGATCATAAACTGAACTTTATAGGTTGCTAGTTCTTTGTCGGTAGGACTTGCGAACTCGTTTTCTTTCCCAACAGATTCCATGTATAAGTTTGAGAAGATGCTTCCTTTGCTCACAGAAAACATGGTTGCATTAGGATCTATTGTGACGGCAGATCCTAGTAAAACCCAAATCCATTTTGCCATTCTTGCAAATAACTGATAGAATTCTGTTCTTGGATGCTTGCCACTCGCTATGAACTCACGATACTCCGATTTGCCAAAGAAAGACTCTTCCATATCAGGATGAACGACTAGAAGATATTTCGCTCGACAAAATCTCGCGAAATCTGACTCTGGATTCTCCATTAGTGTGTCGTACGGGTCATCAAACTTCATAACATCACTCACATCATAAGAAGTTAACGCAATCCCATGAAACATTCTCCGTGCAATGTAGGCCTCAAAAGCATATTTCTTGTCGCATTTCTTCGAATACACAGCATTGTATTCGATCGACTTTGTCGCCATATCAAGATCCCAACCCGAAGCTTTCATTAAACTAATCAAAGGTTTCGCGAAATCATGAATACATTTCGAAGCAGCCTTGAAGACATCTTGAAACTTAGCAACACTCAAAACACTTGAACTTTTCCTATGCTCTAACCTAATCTGCTTGATTTTCTCATTCAGATTCTTGTTCCCTATTTCCAAATTGTCACGCAGTTGCCGCAACGAAAGAAGCTTAGAATCTTTCGCACTTTTTCGAGACTTAAGCTTCCCTAAAAAGGCCTCTTTTGCCACAATTTCTTTCATAAAAAGATCATAAAGTTCAGCATTGATAATTGCCTTTTTCGATTGCTTCTCCTTATACTCACTCTTAATCTTACAAAGCTTCCCAATCTCAGCCACAACAACATCATCAGCAGCAACAATCTTTTTCGGATCATACGGAATATGAGCTTGTTGCAGCTCAAGATATGCTAACTTCAAATCCAAAACAGAATCAAATATCTTATTCAAGATCCCCAAATCACCACAAGAATCCTCTTTGGCTTTCACTTCAACAATAGAGTGAGGATGAACTTCAATGGGTTTGTGCAAATGTTGAAGATTGGGGGTTTCAGAACTGAAAACCCCAATAGATTTCAACTTACAAACTTTGGCAAATTTGTAAACCATTTCTGATATATTTGAGGTGGGTTTCACAGGCTTAGTGTTTGTTGATAACTCCATGATATAAAGTTCAAATTTTTAACCTTTACACATCAATCTAATAGTGACCCTTCATCTTCGCTTCAACAAAAAAAAAGCAAAATAAATTACAAATTCATGCACAATAGTACATTTCATGAAATGGGTTTTCTTTAAAAAGTCACTTTTTTTTGTAAAAAAAATGTAAAGTTTAGATTTTTATACAATAATGAAAGAACTATGTTACATTTCAACACTCAATGAAACAACCCATTGTTGCATTAAAACATAGCAACATTAAAAAAAACAAAAAAACATGAAATACACCAAAAGTAAGGCTTAAAGAAAGAGAAGAATGTGTTGTGAAAATCTCACCGGGAAGTGAAAGTGAAGAGATGAGGGAGAAGAAGAAGGAGAATGGTGATGATGTGTGTTTCTGACATTGTATGAGAGTTTGGCAAGAGAGTGTTTGGTTGAGGAACAGTAACTCCGTGAAATGTGAGAATTAATTTATTAGTATTGTTTGACGTTTGTGTTGTGTTTGGACTTTTGGGAAAAAGAGTTGAATCGGGAATCTCAATGTGTGTGTTGTTTCAAAAACTGAAAAGTTTTACTTTTATTAAGTGAGACCAGAGAATGGCATACTATAGTAGCACCTAAAGTGTAAGTATTTGAAATATTGAAAAATCAATGGAATAATAAAAAATTAAATAGTGTTATGGTCCTTTGAGCATTCACATTTATGCTACTCAATTTGGTAGTATAAATGGAACCTATTTAATATAATAGGAAAATGTTAATCAATACTCTACTAGCATTCTTTCTTTAAATATTTAAAATGGTAAGATTTTTTAATAATACGTGTAATTAATGTATTGAAAATTGAAATAATTAATTTTTATAAAAAATATTTTTTTATTTGATATTTTTAAAGAGTATTTTCAGGGCACTGATTAACATGATCCAATATAATATATTATTTTACTCTTTCTAATTATTTAAATCATTCAATTATATTTTTATTTTTTTTGAATATTCATATCACTCATCTAAAATTCTAAAATAGGTCTCACTTTATCCTTTAATATATCTCACATATTGGTCGTATACATTTTAAATATTTTTTAATCCATTTTAAATTAATGATATAGTGGTTTATTGTGGACACGGTGTCAAGTTTGGAAACGATTTTAAATGAACAATTATCCATTCCACTCTGATATAACAGTATTGGTAACCGTGAAACTACTCTTAAAATCCACCGATGTGGATGCTCTTATCGCGTTTTTTGATTTTTGGTATGTGAGTATAGTACTTCTTTCGTCTTAAAATAATAGTCGTTTAAGGTTATTACACGGAGTTTAAGAAAAATAATAATTGAGTTAATAAAAATAATATTTTTATAAAATTAGCCTTTATTATTATTGGTTGGAGTACATTGTCATACTTGGAAAGAGTGTATACAAAAGATAAAATTGGTAAAAATTAATTATAATTGTATTGAAAAAATAAAGAGAATATTATTTTGAGACAACTTTTTAAATTAGAAAGACAATTATTTTGAGACAGAATGAGTAATAAACATTTCAATCTAAGACATCTTGTCCACAACATTAATGTTTTTCCACCAAACCACCTATATTACTTGTTAAATATTTGTATTTTGTATATAATGATGTTAACTTCAAATATTTCTATTTGTTTAATACATCTATTATATAAGAAAATTAATTGTTGTTCAAAAATTCAAAATACCCTTATTAGTCGATAATCTGCCATGTGGATAGGTTTAACATTAAGCAGTCTCTTTTGTTGTACAATTAGATTTTCAAAACTAACTAATTTCATTCGCTCATTCAACGCACAGTTTGTGAAAAAATGGTTTCTCTTCCATTTTCAAAAACGGTCTCTCATTCATTACTATATGATTCTCTCTCTTCCTTTTCTTCTTCCTTCTTTCTCATGTAGCCTATTTATTCCTCTTATACTTTATTTTATTTTCACGTTCTCCCTCTTCCTTTTCTTCTTCCTTCTTTCTCTCGTAGCCTCTCTCTTCCTCTTCTGCTTTCTTCTCTCTTGCGCTGCTTCAATATTCCTCTTCTTCTTTCTTCCCTATTCCTTTTCTTCAACACTGACTGCATGGTTCTACGAGGATTTACAGAGATCTACAATCAAAGTTTTTCAAGGTAAATATTGGATTATGAAAGATATTTGATTTACAAATATTTAAGGTAATATTTGCTCTTCTTTGATTTCCAGGTTATTCAAGTTTGATCTTTGAGTTTCTAACTTCCTTCATCTTCAACAACAACAAAGGTTTTGAAGGTAAAATAGTAAGGTATGTTTATGTGAGAAAACAAAAGAATCAGGAAAGTTAGAGTTTTGATTTTGTTGGTGTTCATAACAAAAAGGAGATAATTTGTGCTTAGGGTTTTCTGATGGATGAAATTGAGTTTTGATTATGTTTCTAGTGTCCTATTTTCGGTGTCGGTATTAATTTGATTTTCGATAAGGAAGAATATCTGATGTTTAGATTTTTGTATCTGATATCAGATGTTGATGAGAGAAGAAAATATTGGAACTGCAATTTCATATGTTGATGCAGAAAAGAACTTGAAACTTTCACTGACTCTGAGCGTCTCATCGGTGATGTCGATAAGAATCAGGTCGCCATGATTTTTGGAAACACATTCTTCGATTCATTATTATAATATTTGCTCGACCTATTCAATATTTTGCGCATATGTCCTTTTTGTATATTCCATTTTGTTGCTCGTCCTGTAATAATTTTGTTATATGTATCAAAATTCCAAGTTCTGTATATTCCAAGTACGTACAAATTGAGTGATTTTAATATTTACTCCGAATAATATACTTACAGGTGACGAACTCCTTGCCGGAAGTAACTACTGCTAGTAATGTTGTGCGACAAATGCAAAACTTCTCATTTTATGAAAAAACCATGAGAATTCAATATGCAAAAACAAAGTCAGATTGTATTGCTAAAGAAGAGGGGAGTTTTGTTCCAAGGGAAAATAAAAAGATATAAAAGGAGAAAGCTGAGAAAAAGAGGTACCTTGAGGAATCAAAATAATCTACCGTGCCAAATGGAACATATGATGCAAGTAATAGTGGTCCAACACCCTCATTCTGTCCAAGGTCTGATTCCTAAGAAGCAATTGCTCCTAACAATTTTTGTTCATAGAGAACTTTCCTTACAAAACTACCGGTAGAATGCTTGAAATTCTCTTCGAACAATACCCAGGGTTTAAGGAAGTGAGCTTCATTGATGCAAATCCAAGTATTGCATTTGTACATTTTGAAGATGACATACAATCATCCATGGAAATGCAGGCTCTTTAAGGCTTCAAATTCACACCTCAAAATCCAATGGTTTTAAGCTTTGCTAAGAAGTAACTAATTAATTTTCTGCAATCAGTATTTGAGGTAAATTTTACATACTGTATTTGTAACACCCGGAAATTCATTAAATTATTTAAATGGATTACTGAGGATTTAATTGTTGGAATTTAGTCGAAGAAGGAATTATCGGATTAATTATAAGGAGTATTATTGGATTATATATATTGTTAGAATTGATAATTGAATAATTAGTCAATTTAGTCAAGAGAAATTAATATTGGAAATAATGTTGATTTTAATAGAATGTTATTTTATTAGTTGGGTCAAGTGGAGTGTGTGAAATAGAAAGATTAGGAATAGAATTAATAGGCCCATTAGAGTTACTAGTAGACCTATTATTATTATATTAGGTTATGATATATATAAGCTAGCAGCCAAAAACCAAAAGAAAAACAATTATCACGTAGCAGTAGAAGAAACAAGGGTTTTGGAGGCACCAAGTGGGAGGCAAGAAAATTTAGAGAAGTTGTCGTCAAACCAGTTGCAGTTTCAACCGGAGAATTCGACCGGCCGGAAAACCAAAAGGTAAGGGTGGGGTTTGGATTTTATAACCGCGAATATGATGGTTAGTATGTAGGATTGGGGTTGTGTAATTATCCGTTATCTGTGTTGAATTTTGTGTTGAATTTTCGTGTGGAATAAATCATGTTGTTGCTGGCAATTGTTGTTGTGCTGAGTTCTGGAAAATAAATAATTGTGTGTTGATTCTGTTGCAATTGTTATTGATTGTGAATATGAGAATTAATTGAATTAATAGGTAAATAATAGTTGCAAAACAATTATTTTATGTTGTTGTGTATGAGAAATCTGGATAGAAAACCAAGCCTGCGTTTGGAAATATATTGAAGACGAACCCCTGGGAGAGCCTGCCGACCGACAGGGAGTCCCTTGTAGGACTATGCCGACCGGTACAAGTGGCAAGGTGAGGATGGAGAGTGACGATCGACAAGGTGTATGGGTAGAGGCTGCCGGTCGACAGCCTTGAGAGGGAAGAAGTGTGCCGTTCGGCACTGCCTGTTAGGTGCAAAGGCACTTGTTTCTTTCTGTAGCAATATGTTATATAAATTTTTATGGTATCAATATAGAATTCATTGATACAAAAGAAAAGCAGTTAGAGAACAAATAAAACCATTCATATCAGTAGTATGTATAGCAGAAAAATATTAATAGAAGTAGCCCTCATGTCAGTAATCTTAAGCTAGTAGTTATAATATAATTTTAACAGTCTCTAGTAATAAGACAGAGTTAGAAATAATTAGTAAAGTTGTAGTAACTATTTTAGAGGATTGATTAAATAGCAGAAGAAAAGATATATTTCCAGTTAGTTATTTAGAAGTGAATATTAGGAGAATAATTAAATAATGAAGTATTAATACATAGAGACTTATGGGAGTGTTTTGGACACGACTATCATGTTTGTGTTTTCCTTTGTGATGTACATTGATGTTATGATGTTGCAAATATTTGTGTGAAGTTGCAAGAATGGTTATGACGAAGATTTACCTCTATTAATTGGTAATATTAGTGATATAGGCGTATGCCTCATGAAGTGTTTAATGATATTGTTGTATGTGTTGTACATTCATATATTTGCATTTGTGAAGGCCTGTATTGGCGGA